GTATCGGTTCATGGTATCGGTTAACTTTTAAGAGTATGAGTACACACACATTTTACAGTATCGGTATCGGTGCATCCCTACTAGGCAGTCTCTCTCATATATATATTTGTTGAATGTATGCTGAAGGAAGTTCCAGCCATAAACAGTTATTTATGAAATTAATGATTTGGCTCAATTTCAGAGACTCACATTGCTATTTAAATCAAGCTGGGCTCGTGAGGATTATTTCACTTGTGTTTTTTCCCCCCTGGTTTTTGTGTTATCTTTAGACGCTACAAAAATAGTAGGTCCACCTCAGAACACGCAGGTTGACAGTGGGAAGTTGGCCAAATTGATGTGCAAGACTGAATATGATGCAAGTCTGCAGGACACGTTTGAGCTGGTGTGGAGAAAGGAAAACAAGGAGATCCCACTTTCCTCTGAGAAAAATTCCAGGTAACTGGTTTTGCTTTGATGGTGCTTTTATGCTGATGCTCTTACTGAGTATGAGTATGTGTATCTTGATCAGAGGATGCATTTTGCTGACATATTGTCTGCTCATCTCTATCTATCGTTTACCATGCTACGGTTTTAGTTACAGACATTAGAAAGTTAGGCTGTAGCATCAACCAGTGCACTTACTGGATAATAAAAGGCTAGCATGACTAAATTATGCATGGCTTTAAATTCTCTTTTATTATGCAGCTTTGGTGGAGGGGCCTCTGCTTGAGAGGTGGATTGAAATTACTTACTCTGACAAATCTTCACTTATGTTCAGATACTCTGTGAAAGGTGCCATGCTGGAGATCATGAATGTAAACCTGAGTGATCAGGGAACATATACATGCACTGCTAGAACAAGCCTAGATGAGGACTCTGCCACTGCAGTACTCACTGTACGGGGTAAGATGAATTATGTATAGTTAAATATTTATCGCACATTTTTGGAAATGATTTGGCTTCAAACAGTTAAATAAATAATGAACAATTCTGGTATTTGTTCATTAACACATTTGAGATTCTCTAGATGTTTTAGTTATCAGGTTGATGGTTGACGGCTCTTTTGTTCTGCACGGCAGATGTTCCTGATGCTCCGATAAAGTTAGACCTGTCCGAACTTGACAGTCCAAGGAATGTTGTTTTGTCTTGGATACCTGGAAGCGATCACAACAGCACCGTAACAGGTAAAAGTTAATGGGCAAAAAGCAGAAAGCCTGAAAGAAGGTTTTTGTGTATTCTTGTAAATACTTGTTAATAAAAATAGGATAACAAAAAAATGGAACGTGACTGAATACTTTTCATTTATTAGTTACTTTTACATGTAAGACACACCCTAACTGAACAGAGTATTCAATTCAGTTCAATATTATTCATTTACATAGCAGCAATTCACAACAAGAGTCACCTCAAGGCACTTCATGCTCTAAAGCAGGGGTCCCCAATCCCAGTCCGCAAGGGTCGGTGTCCCTGCAGGTTTTAGATCTCACCCTGGGTCAACACACCTGAATCACATGATTAGTTCATTACCAGGCCTCTGGAGAACTTCAAGACATGTTGAGAAGGTAATTTATCCATTTAAATCAGCTGTGATGGATCAAGGACACATCTAAAACCTGCAGGGACACCGGCCCTTGTGGCCTGGGATTGGGGACCCCTGCTCTAAAGTAAAGACCCTGCAATGTTAGAACACAACCCCAACCATCAGATGAGAGTCCAATATCATTGTCTAGTTCTGCAGTTCTTTAGCCTCGCCACTGGGAAAAAGAATCGTATAATGCATAATCAGTAAACAAAGCATATAAAATGCATGCAACCAGCTGTAGCGCCTCCATAGTGTAGTAGTTTGCACTTTTGCTTGGTAAGAGAAAGGTCACTTGTTTGATTCTAGCTGAAGACACAAATGCCTTTGGTATTGCGTCAGGAAGGACCTCCAGTGTAGAGCTCTGCCACATCAAAACATCCAGGGCGATTCGATGTTGCGACCCCTTGTGACAAGGGAGCAACTGAAATTAGCATTCAGGCACACCTGTGGTGTACGTGCATGCACTGACCAGAGCCCGAGTATGCGGACTAAAGCTGCTTCACAGTTGGAAAAAAGTCTGCAGGTTATTATTAAAAACTGAAAATGTTTTTTCGATGCAACTTTCAAGTGATTTACTGCAAATCACTGAGTGTTTTCATGCTTCCCGTGTGAAAAAGAGATTTAGTTGATGCTGTGATCACTTAAACAAGTGAAGAAAGCTGCAAAGCACTGAGAATCCCAGCAGGGGAGCTTGTCTCTCATTTAGGCTTCAAAAGGGAGGGCGAAATTATTTTTGGTGGTAAGAATTTGTATGGGTTCATCAGTGTTGTGTTATTAATATTCTTAGCTGCGATGGTTGTTACAGTGGGGGAAAAATGGCTGTTTTTTGTGACTGAAATCGGATAAATCTTTTAGGAAATAACAGGAACAAAAAGTATTTTCAACCCCGCGATACTCATCAATAAGTGTTAATATTTAACAAGGATGACAGCATTTTTTCTTAGAAGAATCTTTCATTTTTACTAGTTTCATTCTTCCTTTCTTTCTTTTTTTGTATCATTTGTAGGTTTTTTGACACATAATCGCCACCTGTTGATCAGGAACAACATAATGCCTTTTTTTAAAAACAAAAAAACAAAAAAAACAACAACCCCAGATTATTTACAAAGTCACCCACGGGCTCATGGGGGTGCTTTCAAAAGACACACAAAACATTAGCAGTAAAAAAAACCCTATATACTACATATCTATACAGAGTTTATTTAAGTGCATGCTAATGAACATCATAACCAAAAATATAGGATTGAAAGATAACTGTAAAGTAATGAACATAATTAGTCTTTAGGAAGATAACAAAATCAGAAGCACAGAAATATACAATAGACAGGAGGCTTTTAGCTCTTTCTGTGATGTGCCAAATTGTCTGTTAATGACAGCGTGGTAAAGCACTTTCTCACTATCCCCTTCAGCTCTGGCCCCAGTGTTAATACCACTGTCAGTTCTTAATTTAATAAATTCAAATTAGAGAAGGTAGCACAACCCTTAATCCTAGAAGTTTCGTGGCACAGAAAGGGTGATAAAAAGGGGTTAATATGAATCGTCTATCTGAGAATTAATAATACCAACAGAAATCCTTTTCTCCCTGGTACTTTTTTTCTTACTCACATTGTACTACACTAATGGTCCCTGCCTCCAGGTTCATAATTAGAAATGCATGAGTGGTATTGGTAATCTCATTTAACACTCATATAAGATAATGTTGAATTATTTATTTATCAAGAAAGGGGTAAATCAGCACTCATAGATACTGATCGGCGGTGTAGATAACCTCTCTATATGATATAATCTAAGCCAAAGTATGAATGCCTAATATATGCTTTTAATAATCAGTGGTATTGTCACAACTTCGTGTGTCCTCTCTCTTTGTGAGCACAGAATTTGTAGTGGAGTATGAAGAGAACCGCTGGGAGCCTGGGAGGTGGAAGGAGCTACAGAGAGTCACCGGTAACCAAGCAACAGCTGAGCTAAAACTATACGGGAACCTTAACTACCAGTTCAGAGTGTATGCTGTTAACGCCATTGGACCCGGACCCCCGAGTGAGCCGACTGAACGACACAAAACACCCCCTGCTGGTGAGACCAGCTCCTATTTATTAAAAATGTCTCTCTAGTTATGTGTAACATGTCAAAGCATGCAGGTTTTAGTATTAAAAATGGCATCTTTTTTATTCTGCAAAAAATTATTTATACAAGTGCACACATGTCTCCAAAGCACCCGATAGGAACCCAGAAAACATCAAAATTCAAGGCCATCATCCTCATCAAATGGAAATCAGTTGGGAGGTAGGAGAATTGTTTATTCGTTTAAATTTAAAAGACTTGTTATCTGTAAGAATTTTCACTAGAAGTTGTTATAGGATTGTAACAATTTCTCTGCACTGTCATATTGTAGCCGCTGTCACCTGTGGAGCGCAACGGCCCAGGCTTTGAGTACAAAGTGAAGTACCGCCAACTCGGGATGGAAGATAACTTCACGGAGCACATGGTCAACAGATCTGTGTTTCTCGTGAGCAACACGCCCACCTTTGTCCCCTACGAGATTAAAATCCTGAGCAGAAACAGCTACGGCTGGGGGCCAGAGCCTAAGCCTGTTACAGGTTACTCTGGGGAAGATGGTGAGTAGCATGTATTAATATATTTCAGCGTACGATATAATTACCTGCAACTGACTTCATTACAACACACCCCAAAGCTGAACTGGCATATTTGTCTGTTGGTTTTCTTTTAACTCTGAACTTCTCGTGTTATGATTCTTTACCGTGTTCTCAGTTGTCTTTTGGCATTGTCTGCGGGAAAATGTGTCAGGTTAAGTTCTTTTCTTTTTCTCCCCCCCTCCACTTACCCAAGGTTTTAACCCTGTGCAGGTGGTGCAGTAGTGACTTTTCCTTCCTTCTGAAAAAGGAAAAACAAAAAAACACCACTGCTAGCAGGTGGCAGATAACCTTTGTAGAGGAGAGGGATGTCAAATTTCCACTTCTGTCTCAGAAGCTGCTGGGGATTTGATAGATCACAACACGCCTTGCGCTGTAGGCCTACTGAGGCACGGTGGCTGCTTCACTTTCCAGTGTCTGCTGTGCTCCTGTCGTTACAGTAACGCGTAGAGTAGAAAATATTTACAGTGCCATTTTGTGTCTGGTGTGGATTTTCCCCCTGCTTTCAGTAGCTAATTTGCTTCATTTTGCATGTAGCTCAGCATATTTTCCGTGCACTTTCTTGGCTTTTTATACCAGCACCAATGTTTTGACTCATCAATTCATCAAGCAACAGAACACCATTCCTCAGCTTAAAACACTGTATTAATCTAACAAGGTTGATGTATTTTGTAACTTTCTGCAACTACAAACATTTTATTTTCAATATGTTGGGAAAAAAGTCTGAATAAAGGTCTGCTGTTCACAGACTTTCTGTGTTTCTCAACTTCCTCCCACCGCCTTTAGTTCCTACTGCGGCACCACGGGACATTGCTGTGGAGGTGATCAACACCACTGTTCTGAGAGTTAGCTGGACCCCAGTTCCACCTGCCACGGTGCGAGGTCGCCTGGGTGGTTATAATGTAAGTTGTCAGCTTCTCAAACATCCCTGCATTTTCAATTCCAGCAAAGGAACTTCAAACAGCAGCGTGTTTTTCTCGGTATTTGAAAATCCTCCAATGTCTGCTTTCTGAATAGCGCACTTTCTCTGGTGGAATGGTTTTTGTCATTTGGAGGACAAACTCTAAAATGAGATCTCTGCATGCACTCTCATCGTGACAGCACGTTTTGAGAGTTTTTTGGTTGGATATAATTTTTAAACATTTTTAAAAAAAATTATACCCAACTTTATCATTTAAGGAGTTTTAATGCTGTACTTGTGTTGAAAGTTTGAAGGATGCACAGTGGCAAAGTAAAAGAGTGAGAAAAAGATGTGTGTAAAGGAGCTCTTTCATTATCTTACTGTCTTTCTTGTTGTTTTATATTACACTCTCTCACAGGTTCACTGGGTGAGGAGAAGAAGTCTCCTGAATCCCGACAAGATTTTAGATTTGAGTCACTCCATGTCCTTTTCTGGAAACAGAAGTCATGTCATTGTGCCAGGACTCGAACCTTTTTCTGAATACAAACTCACCGTTTATGTTTTCAACAAGAAGGGCAATGGACCCAAGAGTGATCCGGTGACCTTCAATACACCAGAGGGAGGTGAGGTGATACTGTGATCGCACACGTTAAACAACCCATGCTTCAGGCGTTTACGCACACATGCTGAAAACTGTACAAACTATGAATTCAGCTTTAAAATGAATTGCATCCTTGTGACAAGATCGGTTTTAGATCAGTGTGTTTTTCATCCCAGTTTTTAAAAAAATGTGTGCTTATCTTACCACTGTTGTTGTTTGTGTAGTTCCAGAGCAAGTTAGCGTCCTGACTTCCTCCATCATCCAGAGAGATTCAGTTAGGCTGGAATGGGCACAGCCGCCAAAGTCAAATGGCATCCTCACCGGTTACCTCCTGCAGTACCACCTCAGTATGTAAACACGCCACACTTTGTAGACCTTTGTAGGTTTTCCATCATAACAGAGTTGTCTCTGCTGTAACTCAGGGCTTTGTCTGCAGTGTTACAGTGGGCGAAGTGTAAACAGTCGTTCAACAGCAGCGTCGGTAAAGGGACACAAGAGAGGAAAAGATTATTAAAGAGAGAAGGAGGTGTAGAGGGGGTGGATATGTGATACTACAGCTTCGATTTACACATATGCAGGTTTAATTTCGATTTAAAAAACATTGTTGAATACGCTATCATCTGCACATCACCTTTTCCCTTCTAATCTCGTGTGGCGTTGTCCCAGACAGTAGGTGGCACTGTGTGACACTGAACCCTCCTCCAGTCTGCAACGGCCTAATTGTTTCACGATACTTTAGCCCGTGGCTTGACACTTTCCTCTGTGTTTCTTATCTCATATCCTCCTGCATGTTTCCTCCCAAAAGAAGCATTTATACCAGTGCTCTATGTGCCTCTTGTGCTATTTTATTTTCATTTTATTTTTTTTTGCATTTATCACTCAGAAGCTTTTCTCTTTGCAAAAGAAAAAGAAAAAGCACCTTTATGCTGGAGTACAGTAAGAATGGACAAGTGAGTGAGGGGCTTTCATTACACTCTCTGTTTTCAAAGCCTACACTCTCGTTGGCTGACATTTCTGAAGTCTTTTGTGTAAAATGTGAAGGCAGAGACAGCCCTGTGCCGCCTCCACCAGCACCCACAGAGTCTGGCCAGCTCTTCAATACACTCTGTCCCTCTATTTCTGCCTTTTTTT